TATATATATATATATATATATATATATATATATATATATGAAAAACTGATAATATCGGCACATCATGTCATAATAACCAAGCTAGCGCAGCAGCTGGACCTCAGGACAGAAGAAAACCACTGTTCATATAAAACCAAAAGGACGGTTTGCACAGGGTATATAATAAACGCCAACTTAAAGTTTATGAATTAGCTTAGAAAAAACCAGTAGCTAATCGTCAATGTCACGACCTCACGTTAATAGAAGAAGCAAGCAAGATACTTTGAAACAGGGTGTAGGACAATGTGCTTGAGTAGATCTTTGTGTGAATAGCTTCGTCAGATCCAGACGAATCAACTCTCAGCAAATTGAACTCGAGTCATCAGTTGATTAGTAGTAGTTGATTAGTGGTAGTTGATTAGTAGTAGATTCGAATCAGTGCTGTCCATTTCAATCCACTGTACACACATTCAGTGAAACGAACGTTAACCAGGTATCTAGCGAAATCTGTGTAGTGCTACTGTGTTGTGGGATCAAAAACAGTTTGTCTTAGAGTGACGAGAGTTCTCGAGATGCACGCCTGTGTTACCAACCACTGAAAATGATAGTCCACTGTTAACAGAACATAACTTGCGGAAAATACAGCGTGATAAATGCCTCTTTAATTAGCTCGAACTGATGAGTGTATATCATCAAACTTTATCAACAAAGTTCATTTTCCAGAAGTGGCCGAGTTTGTTCAAGGTTCTTAATGTGCTATTGTTCTCTTGTAAACAGCTGAATAAGTACACCTGTCCTACAAATATCCCATCAAACCTTTGTGCGAAATCTCACATTCATCCGTCACTTATGCAAATGGATGTTTAGGGATTCCTACCCTTCAGCTGGTTTGAGGAATACCTCAGATTTACACGAGTAGCATACCTCTGCAAGGCTTTAGAAATTCTGTTAACCCTGAGATGGATACACGTGCCTATCCGGCCTACAAAGTGATGCACTTTGTGCACTCACTACAGGGCATTGATACCCATTTAGCATGCCGAGTTCGGTAACACCACTCGTTCTCCACACAGTATCGTTTGCTGGAAAGTATTTTCTTAATGGATTGGTCAGGACAAGATTGTTGCGTGATGACGCACACTGAGGTATGTCCCAGTATGTACGGCAGCAAATTACACAACTCGACTTGTTCCTGTGGCAAAATTCATTAAAAGTACACATATGCACTCAAAAGGGAAAGGAAGATTCTGTCATTCTAGTTGGCTTATTGGTAAGCTGATTAATCGCTCGGATAACATAAGGTAACGCACTAGTTGTAATCATTTTTGCAAGATTCATCTTCATCTTCCTGGATGGTTGAAGCTGAACGTGATTCGACCGATGTTCTGGATGCTTTGCGGGAGAACGTAGAACTGGTTTTAGCTCTGATCCTAAATACCAATGGATGGATTCTGTCTCCGTTGTTGTTGCCGTTGCCGTTGCTAGGAGACCCCCGCATGGACTCACTGGTTACCTCCAAGTTTCACATGAGTTATGGAGGATTCATACGTAGCGGATCAATCGAATTCTGTTCAAGCAGATCGTTTAATGTCTACCTTGACAGTATAATCAGTTGAAGGGATGACGGAATCCCTGTTACTCAATCAACGCGCCCCAATTAGACATATCTGGGTAATATGTTGACACTTGTGACAACCAACCCAAAAGTCTCACTTGCACGAAGGTCTTTGGCAAAACTTACTGACAGAAGTGCGTCATTGCTACCAGATATATAATGTGACAACCAGTGTGATAATGGATGCACTCAAGATTGGTGATTTTCAAGGTCCTTCCATCACTAAGCGAACATAAATTTTCCCAATAGCATTATGCATACAAAACAGGCACGCGGTCCACGCAACGCCACATTTAGTGCGCTAAAACTCATGCTATTAAATAATGGGTCACGTACGCAACGATAAGACTGCGGTTCGAAACGAGTGGCAAAAATTGACTACTTGAGGGTTAAATGGCTGCGAGCGAACATATGTAAGGTTCCGAATGATGTAACATTTTTTGCAGTAACACGTTAGTAGCCTGGTATACATCTGATCACCGCTAAGTTGAATGATTTTCATTGAAGCTGACTGGCAAATCGACTGAAATGAACTTTAGAATTGGTGGCTAAGGGCTACACGTGCAGTACATGAAATCAGACAAGGGTAGTGCAGGAAGGAATGTCACTAAATAACGGGCTAGTGTGTTGAGATCACAGGATAAATATCGACTCCCTAAAATTATCGTCTCCAAAATTATTCTTACACCAGTGTGAAACTGAATAGAAACACGTGTCCTTAGAAAAGAGGAAGAATAGCTTCTGTTTCCTGTGTTACGCAAATGGTGCACATGGTGACTTTTTGGAAAGTTTACCTTTCTTTTCGATTTAACAGACTTCTATCATAAGCGATAGATTCATTTGGAGTTTACTGGAGTTTCCCGCTAACATAGACTTAGTTTAGGAACAAATGTATTTCGCCAGCTGTGCTCCTATTTACAGCAACTGCATCCAATACCTAAAGCAATGACATTACGTGATACCGACGGAATATCATGGGTAGAAAACATCACATTTGCAAAAATTAATGCGACAATGTCACCGTTTCCAAAGCTAAAATGAACGAAAGTGACTGGCAAAATATGTCACCGGCTGGGCAGACTGCATGTGAAAGGGAGAGCGCCCTTATTGGGAGATATAATTTGATGTGCACCGGAACTTTGCAACGTTGCTTTCTGACCTACTTGAACGAAAATCAGGTTCTGACTCCACAGGACCTTTTTTCAAATGCCCTGAGTTAGAACACGGCTAGAGTGTACTATAAATAAAGGACAATGATGGACATAGAAAAACATCAATCCTCTGTTACAAATATCAAAAAAGAGTTTACACCTGAAAGACAAAGCATGCGCAGCGGACTGCTAGATAAGATGAATAGTCAATAGCAATAAGTGATATGAAAGAGTACAAACCTGCAGTATTACTATCCACACACAAGATAAGTTGACCGGTGTGGAAATATGATATCTGAGATCATGACTGATCAGTAGTCACCAAAATTGATCACAACTATTAGGTTCTGTTATTCTCAAACTAAGCATAGTTATCTTTACAATAATTTAGTGATTTTTTTATTGAAAACCCACAATATTGTTTAAAAAACACATTATCTGTCCTCAAATGTTGAAGTCCTATGAGCGGTACTGCTGTCGTAGCAACGAGCCCGTGAACTGCATTCGAGGCAGAACACGCCATACCTAAGCCTGTAGCTACCCTGTCACCCACGTACTTGACCGCTCAGCTCAGTCGCTCATTCGATCACGAGACTTCTCTTTTTTCATACTCACAAACCACGTCATATTAATACGACTCATCGGACATCGGTTGTCTGTACAGCCTAGTGGGCGTAGCAACAACTCATGTGCTGACGCGCCCACGTACACGCAAACGGACCCACAAATGGATAAACCGAACACACTCAGCAAAGAGACTCGCGTGCGCGCGGGGAGTAGGAAGTCAACCACTCCCCACAAGTCCACGGACAATTATGGAGCACGTGTAGCAGCGGAGAAAACATCTTCCCTCCCTCTGTACTTTCACCAAGGAACTCTCGCCGACGATACGTTCCTATTTTGACTTGCTCCCACTTTGAATTGCGTTTATTTTTATACGTGTAGCATCTCACCACTGCCAACCAAAACTTTTATTAGTGCATATACCTTCTGAGTTGTGTTATGGCGATCATCAACAGTGCACTAATAAGCTCAGGGTTTCCGCTGCTGCAAAGAGCTAAATTTTCTCCGTGGTAGAGACAGCAGCCGTTTGAAAACCTGTTTTTCAGGTTAAACCAGATAAACCCCAGAGGTTGACTGCTAAGTTAAGGGTAAACGTACTGCGAACATATTGGCACTGCCACATACTGCACGGGGAAAAGCGCAACCTTCTGGACACAGGCCCGTACATCCTTTTGGACCCAGAGAGCGGCTGGTCATTTCCTTTCAATTGTATTTTACCTTTTTTTAAGTAAACACAATGAGTTGCAATATGTTCCCACAGAAAGGTTAAAAATCACAAGGGAATTTGGCAACAATTCGAGAAGCGGTCAGATTTTGGGGGTAATAAAAGTCGGCCAAGAATGAGACACCCTAATAAGTGCTACCTCATGATAATGGCTGTCAACCTATGTTTACAAATACATCCTACATACAGGCGACCCCCTAAAAATATTAGCTTTTACCCAGGACCACTAAAAAGGTTTTCGAAAAGCATACTTCAGCATTCGCTCTTGGGAAACAACGTTTTTTGGGAATCCGGAACAAGCATTACAGTGGAAGTGGTGCAGTTTCGCTCATCAGCTTGTCTTAACTGCGGTTTCTCACTTGTCGTGTTACTGATACACACACACTGATACACAGACTGCTACACACACACACACCACAAAGCCACATAAAACATGTGTTCAGTGGCCCCTGGATGGTCCTATTTGAATATGTTCCGCTGCCAGCTCGAAATAACCACCGATTGTAATTTAGCCAATTTCAAAACCGTCAAGGACTTTTGTAGGACAGTGATTGTGCTGATTTTTCCTCCAGAAAAGCTTGCCAGCCAGAATCTTAACGCTGGGAAGAATACTGACCTTAATCGTCATTTTTGGAGCTGATGCCAACTCTTTCACACACCAAGCTAAATTCTCAAGAAGACTGGCTTTGATAGATAATTGCTCGTATTTTCCAATAAGAAACGATTTGCCTAAAGTTTAAATATGCAATGTATGTAATCCACACGGATACGCGCCTGTGCACATGTAATTTGTGGGTAGAACACTGTAGTAGCTGCTTCGGTGTGTCAGATAGTTTGCGCGTGTGCGTGTCCGTTCGTCGTTCCACCATCGATCTGGCATGTGACTTGAGTGGCTGATTGGATGTGTGTCCGATTGGTTGGCTCGCGTGAGCGCTGTGGGTTGACTGGATATGTGACTCAGTTGTTTTGCTTGCCTGCCACGAAAGCGGACCAGTTTGGCCGCGTGTACCCAATACACCCGTGTCCGTACTTACGCGTTCTTCTGACTTACTGGGAACTACAATAAACACATTATCTGATAGTTGTCAATATCATTTTACCTGCTGCAGTTGTTTCCACTTTAAAATCGTCTATAACAAAAACACCATTTTGAGGATGGCGTTCACAATTCCCTCCAAATCACTATCGTTGTGGAGGCTAGGACTGCTGATGGGAGTCGCGTAGTCATTCAGGGACACTCGAATGGATAGTTATAGGAGGGATCTTTGCATAAACAACTTAATGTGTTTTCGTCCACCGTAAATTTGTCTGTCACGACTGCAAAGCAGCGACAGTTATAATGAGTCCCTCAGGTGAATCCGCAGTCAGCTCTTGCATCAAAGCCGATGAATTTCAACTACTTATGAGTAGTCAAAAATCAACCGCTCTTAGTCCCTTATGTGGGAAACCACCACTCAGTGGTTCTGTTCTTCAAAGTTCCACTGTGACGATAACCAGATAGGCATCTCACAGTAATATTAGGGTATAGCACACCACTCTAAATAGGGGGATGACATAACGTTTGTAAGGGCAACGTCACAACGGCAGATGTCTGCAAGAAGGATAGCAACATTCCACAAGAATGTGCTTCCTGTTTTATCGAGGCTCCTGCAAGTAAGCTGCCTCACTTGAAAAGAAATGATGAGGGAGCTGGAAATTATCCCTTGAGCGCACCAATACCCTACGGTCAATTTCATTGCTGCAGTTTGTGAGAAATTTGGGCATTAGGATTTACGGCATACTGGCCTACATATTCATGCCAGTGGAATAACTTTTGTGAGAAAATTGTATGCTAACTTCCCACGGTTTGAATACTTATGGCTCGACAACAGTTCACAAATTTATATCACCACGGGCCTTTCCATCAAGGTGGGTTACTCTTACTTCATTTTAACAAACGCATTACATTTGTTGCTGGCAGGGCGCGCCCAGACAGAAAAAGCACATGCAGAGCGTGACGCACCCCCAAGGTCACCATCGTCACGACACTTCCGGAAAGTAGGTGAGCCGGCAGCTCCCACCAAAAACCAAATGGCTTAGCAACACACGACCAGCGTAATGGGCCTGAGACTGTTCACGACCGGAACAACACCATTGGCTGTACGGAACGAACAAGTGAATGACCATATTTGGCCAATTAGTCATCCTATATATTTACGCAGACGCTCTGTATGTTTTGTCCTGGCAATACAGCCGTGTCCCCAGTTCTGTCTTCTCCCTATCGCGTAGTCTGGCAGGTTCAGCACAGGCGTAACCCATAGACGGCCACCACCACAAGGTACAACACAAGGCACTGCAGTCTGCATAACATCTGGTTAGAAACACTAAACTGTGTATTCGGTTGTATTCGGTGGGGTTAGTGGAATCCCATCCATCAGCACAGGCGTAACCCATAGACGGCCAGCGCAAGATACAACACTGGCAGACGGATGTTCACAATGGCAATTTCATTCGAACAGATGCAGTCTCTCCTCAGACAGCAGCAGCAACAATTTGAGCTGGCGCAGTTGAAGCTCATCGAGACACTCACCGAAAAATTGTCACTACAGAAGCCGATTAGCCAGACTACTGAGCCGTCCACTTCAGCGATCGACGCGATGCTGAACGCGATCCCTGAGTTCCAGTTCGATCCGATCTCATGCATTACTTTTGATTCTTGGTTCAACAAGCATGAAGACTTTTTCAGATTGGATCTGGGAAGCAGGGAAGATTCTTGGAGAGCAAGACAGTTGGTCAGGAAAATCGGAATGGCCGAACATGAACGCTTTACGAACTATATTTTGCCAGGAAAACCAAGTGACCTGACTTTTGACGAAACCGTTGCTGTTTTATCGACAATCTTCGGAGAACAGACTTCCTTGTTCAGCCGTCGATTTCACTGTATGAATTTGAGCAAGAATGCTTCTGAAGACTGGGTCACGTACGCGGGCAAAGTCAGCAAGCAGTGTGAACGTTTCAACCTCCAAAGCATGACAGAGGATGAGTTCAAGTGTCATATATTTGTGTGCGGGTTGACGTCTCCTGAAGACGCAGACATAAGAACAAGAATCCTCAGCAAGATTGAGCAGAACCCAGACGTCACTTTACAGAATATTACGTCGGAATGCCAGCGCCCGATGAATTTGAAGTGTGATACTGTCAAGATACAAGAAAGTGATGCCAGCCACGCTGTTCATGCGATTCAGAAGCATACTGTCCGTCAGGGTGAAAAGAAGCCACCTTCGGCATGCTGGAAATGTGGTGAGTGGCATTTCGTCAATTTTTGTCCGTTCAAAAGACACCGCTGCAGCAGGTGCTCCCGTATTGGACACAAAGAAGATCGGTGTCATGGCGAGAAAAAGCAAGCTCTCAAGAGGCATTCCAAGCTTCCTAAAAGTCGTGTTCTGGTCGCTCATCAAAGCCCACACGTTAACAGGAGGAAATACGTATCAGTGCGTATTAACAGCACACCTGTTCGTCTCCAGCTGGAAACGGCATCAGATACCACGATTATCTCAAAAAGAACTTGGAAATTTCTTGGCATGACCAAACAAGTTGCACGCAGTGCGACTAAGATCCGGTCTCTTCATCATGACTGCTCCTACCTAGGCTTTGGTAGCCTGTCAGTATCTCGTCCCTCGTAATTCCTTTGGGTATCACGGCAGCTGCGCATCGAAAACGTGCTGCAACTGAAACATTACTAATGCCATGTGCATGCCAGTGGCTTCAAATTACTTCAATGGCACAGCCAAACGCACCAAAGAGTAAAACGAATTCAAATATTGGATGGGATCCCACTAACCCCACCGAATACAACCGAATACACAGTTTAGTGTTTCTAACCAGATGTTATGCAGACTGCAGTGCCTTGTGTTGTACCTTGTGGTGGTGGCCGTCTATGGGTTACGCCGGCTGATGCTATTACCACAACCTCGGAAACCATTTTTCGTTAGTTCGTCACATACAAATTGAACCTGCACGATAAATACCTCATTTTCGACCGTATAGTTATACATAGCCGCTGAATGGCGCTTTAGGTATCACTGATTTGTGTCAAGTACACTCCCATTACATGCATGTAGAGACCGTGTAAGGCGCCAGGGACTATATTTAAAAAAGCGTTACACCTTACGTAAAGACGGAGAGCGACTGGAACAAACGCTTAAAAACGCTGTTATAGTACATATAAACCAAATTAAGGTTCCATTTATTATTGAAATCCTACGGAGCATTTCATGACCTCCTGATAGGTCACACAAGTGAAGAATCGAAAAGTTGTGGTAATAGTGATATTCGGTTACGCCTGTGCTGAACCTGCCAGACTACGCGATAGGGAGAACACAGAACTGCGGACACGGCTGTATTGCCAGGACAAAACATACAGAGCGTCTGCGTCATTCACTTGTTCGTTCCGTACAGTCAGTGGTGGTGTTCCGGTCGTGAACAGTCTCAGACCCATTACGCTGGTCGTGTGTTGCTAAGCCGTTTGGTTTTTGGCGGGAGCCGCCGGCTCACCTACTTTCCGGAAGTGTCGTGACGATGGTGACCTTGGGGGTGCGTCACTCTCTGCACATGTGCTTTTTCTTCTGTCTGGGC